CATTTATCTTGGTTGATCTATGTGCTGCAGTGATTCCACCATCCAAAGGTACCTAACCTTTTCCAATATGTTTACAAGCCTTGACAGAAATATTGTTGACAAGAAACACACTCAAATATTCAAAGGAGTAGGGTTCTACTTCAGAAGTCTAATATAATAGAGTTTCGTCTAATAGAGTCCACTGTGGACAAGAAACACACTCAAATATCCATAGGAGTAGAGTTCTACTTCATAAGTCTAATATAATAGAGTTTCGTCTAATAGTAGCAAGATCAATAAATTTCCTAGTTGATCCTTTGTCTAGACAGAGAGTACAATGAAACATTTTGTTTTGAGGAGCTGACAGAACTTGGCTGTACTTGGGAGTAAAAATTGAACATCTAATGTAGATAGATCCCTAGGAGTGCAAATTCATTGTTGACTTACTTTCTAGGGAAGAGCAAATATAACTGATTTTCATCAGGGTCCTGTCTTAGGGATTTGTAATATGAAGGTTTTATTCAGTTTCTTTTTTTTTTTGGATAATTTGGCAAAAAGTATTGTATTAATAGTATGTGAATGAGAAGGGAGGGGCACACTTTGCTGTACAAAAGAACATGTATCAAGAACTAGGGCACCCTCTTCTGTAAAAAAGAACATGTTTCAAGAACTACTCAAAAAGTATCACTATATCATTTACAGTGAATCAGTAATATACAAAAAACTATCACAATATAATTGGTCTCCAATCATTTGTGAAATCAGCCACTGTAACTCCAAAAAAAACTGTTGCAGCACTCTAGCCCACCGAATATGCACCTGTTCAATACGAGTACAATAAAACATTCTATATGCCTACTGACTGAACTTGTCTGGACTTGGGAGAATTTGAACTGAGGCAGCACCTAACAAAAGAACGAGGGGGGAAATAATTCCCAATATTAGTGTTACAATATCAAGTTGAGGCACAAGACACTAAATTCTATCCTCCCTCAACTTACCTTAATAACCAAAATTTTTAATTCCCTTCTCTGATTATAATTTTACTCCATCTTCAAACTCCAGCATCTTTGCAAGGATAGCAAATGTATCATTTCACTTCTATGGTGCCCACTAGTGTTGTCAAGCTTGGACTGGACTGTACAGCTAATAACCCAGTCACCCTTCTGGGTCCTGCTTAAATGATGGTTTCCATGATTTGAACAGGCTAACCACCCAGTTAACTAGTAAAACTGTGACCCTGTGAGCATTCCAGTGAAAGCATTGTCAGTGATCACAAGCTGTGCAGTAATCACAAGCTGTGCAGTGATCTTAAGTTTCCAGTGAAAGCTTGTCATTCAAAGCAAGCAACTCCAGGCTACTGCAGTTCCCAAGTTCAGGAGAAATCTCCTCGGATAAATGGTTCTACCAAAGAATCAATGTAGTTAGATTCTTAAGCTTTTGAATCTCCCTGGGAATAGAACAATAAAAACATGTGCCAAATAGATCAGGGAAGCTGCAGCAGATCAAGAAGAGGACAAAGGTGCAGAAGGTGCCTGATGAGAGCAAATCTGGTTGCTTTTATTAGTTTTTAAATTTTGTTAGATTTTTGTCTACCATGTCTGATCATTCACTTATGCATTCGAGCAGAGAAGGGAGTTCCTAATTTCTGGTTCACTGCTATGAAGACCAATGTAATTCTAGCAGAGGAGGTAAGGGAACATGATCTACAAATTTTCCTTGTTGATTGTTTCTAAAGTGATTGACTTTTTGCATTTTCGGGAGTTCAGATTTCAGAGTGTGATGAAGGGGCACTCAAGTATCTCAAGGACATCAAGTGGTGTAGGATTGATAATCCAAAGGGGTTCAAGTTGGAATTCTTTTTTGATACTAATCCTTATTTCAAAAACTCTGCTTTGACAAAAACTTATCATATGATTGAGGAGGATGAACTTATCCTACAGAAAGCAATTGGGTAAAATTGCATTTTACTGTATCTTTTTTTGGTAGTTATTGTATCAATTCTTTAATTGCAGCTCTTACCAATATACATAACTTTCTTGTAGCACGGAGAATGAATAGTATCCAGGGAAGAGTTTGACCCAAAAGCTCTTGAAGAAGCCAAAATTCTGATTTGTCCAATTTACTTGTTGGGTTTTGCTTATATCTTATCGTCCACTTCAATGCTCTGAACTGCAGAAAAGCGGAAGGGCCCAAACTGGGGAAGGTCAGCAAGGTGAATGGCCTCCAGAGTGTAAGCAGCAAATGGTGTTTGATTGCAGACAAGAGCACATGTAAACTGTCTTTGGGTCGTTTAAACGAGTGAGAGTGGGGAAGGAAAGTTTTGGGGTGTTTATTTTGTCTGTTTTTTTTTTTACAATTATTATTTTTAGTGTCTATTTTTTTTAAGTTTCAATATTAAGTAGGGTTGGGGATATGGTCGTGGTTATAATTTGTTTATGCCTTTGGGGGTTTCTTTCTGTTGCCCTGCTTTGTTGAGTTTACATGAACTAATTTTAGTAGATTTATGTTTCGATTAAGTGTATATCAGCTTACTAGAACTTGAGTATAAGTGCAAATTAGATTATCAAAATGGATTGTATTGAATTCTTGTTTCAGGTTTCAGTTTCATAATTATGCTTTAGGTTTCAGCAGGTTTAAACTGACATTCTTAATTAAAAAAAAAAGAAAATTAAACCTACATCGGCGGTCATGCAAACCGCCACCTTTGGCAAATCACTATACTTAAACCCGCGGTTTATATAATGTCTATGCCGGCGGTCCGAACCGCCACCTTTGATGAAATATAACATTTATGGTGGTGGTTTATTTAGATGACAATTAAGTCTAAACCGGCGGTTAAAAAAGCCGGATTTGATTACAAATTTTAACTAAGGTGGCGGTTTATGGAAATGACAAATGAATATACGCCGCCGATGGTCAAGGGTGTCGGCTCAATAACTAAACTAGCGGTCAGAGACGCCGGCCCAATAACTAAACCGGCGGTCAAGGCATCCATTAACGGCAGTTTGAATTGTTGTCGTGCACTATATAAGCCGGCGGTTCTCTAAACACCACTAGCAAAAGAATGGTTGGACCGGGTCCCTAGGATGGCGGTCTTTGTCTTCTAAGCCGGTGTCCATGACCTAGGGCGACACAACTATAGATGGCGGCCATTGAACCGCTGGCTCATGTCTATGCCGGCGGTTGAAATGGCTAAGCCGACGGTTTAGTGAGCGTCGGCTTAGCTTGTTTTTCTTGTATTGTGAACTAGATCAACACTTACAAGATCATCAACATATACAGGCCAAACATCAATGAAATTATTATGTTGAGAATAAGCAAAGAGTGAATAATCAACCCTCGATTGAGAGAGCCCAATGCCTTTGGGATCAGAGGCAAATTTATCAAGTTAGCATCTAGAAGCTTGCTTGAGCCCATATGGTGATTTATGAAGTTTACACACTTTGTTCTTTGAAGAAGAAGGAAATCCAAGTGGAATGGTTGTATAGACCTCTTCATGTAAATCACCATGCAAAAAGGCATTGTTGATATCAAGTTGGTGAAATTCCCTTCCACAGGTAACGACAAAAGCACATTAGAGTGTGACAAGCTTGGGAACTAGAGCAAGTGTCATGATAATCATATTCTTCAACTTGTATATATCTTTAGAAACCACCTAACAGTACGGTTGCGTTCAAGAACTGTGATTTCTTCTTCTAGGGTCCATTGCTAGTTTGGATCATGAGCAACCTATGTATAGGTATTGAGCTCAACAAGATTAGGCAATTCTGTAGTAGGCCCATAGCAAATGTGGTCCTTGAGGTGGCTGGGCAAAGGCCACATTGAGGATATGTATTGATTTGAACAGACTCTGTGGGGCCTCAAAAGTAATGGGCTATGTTGTAGTGGTAACAGATATCGTAGGAGATATGGGTTGAGGGTGAATGGGTCAACTAGGATGGGTGTATGGTCAAAGGATGAGGAAATGCCTTCGAAGGGGAATATATGTGCATAAAATGTTACATATCCTGAGAGATAAATATGTGATCAGTGGCTAAGTTGTGCACCCTATACCCTTGAGTTCCATAGGAATTGCCCACGAAGAAGTGTGTGTTAAACTTGTCTTTGGGAAGTGGTCATTCTTGGGTGTAAGTAGGGCCTTTTTCCGGTCAAAACCTCATAGGGTGTCTGCCCACTAAGTGGTAGAGGGTAAATAATTGATAAAGTATGCAACTATGAACACACATTCATCCCAAAACTCCAGTTTTAATGAGAAGTTGTGTGGTATGCATCCTAAATATTAACAAGTATATATGAGACACTCATTTGTCACAATGGAAGAAAACCATCTCTTAGTCAAAATAAACAACTGTGCATGTCCAAGTCGAGTGTGCCATGTATTGTAGCTATTAATTGCACCTAAAATGTTATCTTCTTCAATATACAATCCTATGGAAGATAGTGATTAGAGGAGAACAGGACAACATAACCAAGTTTGGATGTAAGCTTTCCAATGGACAACAAATTATGTTTAAAAGTAGGGATATGCAGGACATCCTTAAGCAACAAACCAGGGCAGGAGAACTTCTCCCCTACGACCTACGAGTTGTCACCATTAAAGAACCATTAGGTAAAGAAATAGATGAAGGAGCATGCAAAGGCCTTATATTAGAACTAAGTTAGATGACCCAAAATATGGAACTCAGAGAGAGAGAATGATTTATATTTATAAATTTGAAAATATTTTCGGTTTAAATAGTTAGGTGCTTAATAGCAAATATGAAAGAGGAAATGACAAACCAGCATTACTTTTGTTTCATATAATGACATTATTGTGTAAATAATTAAATGTTTAGCAGCAAATATGAATGATTCCGTTTCTCACTTTCTTGCAAAAGAGCCTATGACTTTACAGGTTAGGATGAGTGAGAAGACTTTCAATTGGTACGTTATCTATGTATAAATAAAATAAAATTGTATAACATTTTTCTATAAAAAGTACAAAAAATGGTTGGGAAATTAAATGCACGTATACGTAGAGTGAATAAAGATAGAAATGAAAAAAAAAGATAGAGAGAGATATAAGAGGAGGGAAGAGACAGATTAAAGATATTTTAGGAGGTTTCAAGTGAGGATAGTTTACAAGAAATTTTAGAAGAGGAGATGATTTAGTGATTGGGATTAGAGATAGATTTTAGGATAACGGGGATGCTGAGTTGGTATTTTAAGAAATGATATTTTGAGGAAAGAGAGGAAACCAAAGTGAAGCCTCCATTGGATAAAGAACGTTTGGTGTGCTATGAATATGATGAAGAAAATAAATTAGTTTACTTTAAGCCTTGCGTGATTGATTTTTTTTTTTTTATTGACTTGGCGTCTGAATTTTTTTTTTTTTCCGAACAGGCATTCCCTCTACACTTTTACAGCGAGCCAGGAGGCAACTTTCGGAAGCTTCGTCTGTTTGTGGTGGTCTTGCCGCGAAATTCATTTACCATTGAATCTTTGATCCTGGCGTTGATTATGACGAGAAGAATTGCAGACGTTGATTTTAACTCTGCAATGACGTAAGGGTTATGCAATTTTATATCCCACATGGACGGGAGTAGTGTAAACACAGCAGCAGATGCCGACTCCAAATTAAGAATTTTCTTGTGACTGGATGAGTGGCTGATCTTCGGAAGATCATCCACTGTATCTCCCGCATCACTTCTGCAAACTTGGAAGAATGGCGAGAAATGGAGGAGCCCAACGGCCGACGCTTCAGTTCATCTCTTTGTCTTTATTACTTGTATTGCTAAAGGATGAATTAGCAGTGACAGAAGTAGCAGCAGCATCATCATCTCTGGCATTACCTGGGTGTCAGGACAAATGCGGCAACGTCAGTATTCCCTATCCGTTCGGTATTGGATCTAACTGTTCCAAAGACTCCTCGTTCGAAGTTTCTTGTGATTCGACTGCCGCCGCCGGTTATACCCCCACAATTAGTATTGGGTTTCCAAAAGCTTCGGAGGTGATAGAAATATTGCCTGAAAACAAAGTTAAGATCATTACCAACAGACTCTGGCTTTTCAATGCTAGTTATAATGAAAGTCAGTACTTTCTCAACTTGATAAACACTCCCTTCTACCTATCACAAGACCGTAACGTATTCACGACTGTGGGTTGCGATATCCTTGGCTACATGATAAGTGGTGGTATACGCGTCGGAG